GATATACCCCTTTCTTCTTCCTTCTTATTGCCTTTCATTTTTTGGTTGCTTCTGTTGTTCAGGTGTTTGCGTATAATTTCCTATTTAAATAAACGACTTCTTCGTATTTTAAAACAAATTTAACAGTAACATGATTTTTTAACTTTAATAGTTTATAAATGTCAACAACGACAAAAAAGTTAGAAAACAATAGCAGGAAAAAAGGAGAAGGAAAAGGAAAAGAAAAAGCTACTTCTGCCTTTTTTTTTTTTCAGCAGTTATTATTTGTTCCATTTTGACTCATCTCAAAAACTCATTAACTTGAATCCAGTCAAAGATACAGCAGATGAACAGAAGGAGAAGAAAAAAGCTGTTTACAGTTCAATCAGTTATCAAATATTAGTCATTTTGTTGAATAATTTTTAGAGTTAAAGAAAGAAAAAGAAGAAGAAGACGGAAAAAAAAGAGACATAGATAGAATAAATTTAAAAAAATATATTCAATTTCTTCTGCTATTCGTTATCTTCTTGTTTTTTCCTTTTATTTTTCATTTCACCATCATTTCACCACACACTATTCTGTTGCAGTTAAATTTTACTTTTCTATTTGTTGATGAGGTTCTCCAATTTATAGGCTTGAGAACTTTCGAACAAGAACTATTTCTTCTTATGAAAAAGGTTTACCCTCAAAAATAATTATAAGTACATAAACCAATAGAAATTTTTGCAGCATTAAACTTTTTACAGTACAATCCGAAATATTATAGTGCCCACATAAACGGAACTCCAATTGTTCTCTGTTTTTTTTTTTTTTCTTCCTTCCTTTTCACTTTCCTTTTTCTTCAACGTTCTAATTTTCTTACTCTTTAATTTTTTTTATTTTTTTTCTCAATTTCCTTCTTCTCCATAAATTTTTCAATGTATTTATTAACAACCAATTTTATTATTTGTAAAATACAAGCTTTTTCACCGTTGTTGTGTAAGTGAACACCAGTTGTGGTGCAGAGTTATAAAACGAAACAATTACTGGCATTCTGCTGTAAAATCAACACAAAAACACTTAACAATTTCAAAATTGAAAAGCAACACTAACAGCGCAATATTTTTTTTTCCCCGCTTTTAAAGATTCTTTAATGAATAGTTTCTCCCAGTTCCTTTTTTTTTTTTTTTTTTTTTTTTTT